ATATATATATATATATATATATATATATATATATATATTATTTTTGCTAATATATATATTATAATATATATATTAGCAAATCTTTTAGCTATCAAAACTAAATAATAACTTTGCTATGAAAGCAAGAAAATTTGCTCCTGCAGTTAATATTTTTAGTTGTCCATATATTAGCAAATCTTTTTTTGCCGTGCAGCCTTACGAGAATTAGCATGACTTGAAAAGTTTGCTATACATTTAGATTTTCTTCAAAAGAAAATAATGGTTTCTAGATAAACTCTTACTGACAACTTTCGGATCGATGTGTCATTGTGCAGCTTTCAAGGCTGGAACTGTATTCTATACACGTCTACTGACTATATATTACATATCTCTTACCTCAGAATGAATTGATATCACATGATCGATGTTATCTCTCATACTGAAGTCACTATTTTTATGTTAAATTCAATGATTATGTTAATTAAAAATTCTTTTAACAATTCAATTCGGGTGAAATTTCATCGATTCGATTCGAATTCGAAATTGAAATCTGAGAGTCGATTCGCTTCGACATTAAAAATCTTTGATTCGCACATCTGTAATAATAACTTTGCATGTATGTCATTACTCTACACAAAAAATATGCTTTGGCCCAGAGATAGCCATAATTTTAGTTGGACCAATCGTGTAGGTTACTTAATGTAGGTTCGTGATTCTTTTTCTCTCAGTGTAATTGGGACCGTCAAGAACCAGCTGCGACCAACTCCGTGCGACGATTACGCACAATGGAATAATAACTATCGGCGGCGACACAATGAAATTCTACAAAAGATAACGAGCGTTGCCGCATGACGAAAGGCCTCATTATCTAATAATATTATTGAGCGTTCTAATCTGTCGCGATTAGTCGCGCTTCTTCCCGCGTCGCTGAGCGCGCGACTCTCCGATCAGATTCCTACGTTGTTCGTGCGAATAATAGCCGATATTTGCGAGACTTACTCTTCGCAATTGCACACGTTAACGAGCGATTCATGGTATTATTGAACGCGAGAGAGCGACAGCAAAATTCAAAAAAAGAAAAGATCAAAGGGACATTCTGGCGTCATAAGAAATGAGTAATTAGTGTAAGCAATGCAAGCAAGTTTGAATTAGTAATGCAGAGACAATTATCGAATTATAGACAAAAATTTATAATAGGTGTTAATAGAAGACAGAAGTACACAAAAAATGTAAGAAAAAAGGAAAAAGAAATGAAGGGAAGAAGAAATGAAGAAAAAAGGTTTAGTCAGGAAATAAAATAAAGATATACGGAAGAAGGATGACACAAGGACTGATAGAACAGGTGCTGTGCAAGTAAAAAGATTGAAGTGCAAAAAATAAAAGGAAGGTTATGGGATATGAAAAACTTCTTCTTGATGATGTAAGCTGAAGGAGACATATAAGAAGTGAAGAAAAAGGCAGAGGGATAGAAGTACAGTATAGAATATTATAATATAGAATAATAATATAAATATAAAATAGGAAGAGAGGATTAATAAAACTAACAAAATATGGAAGAAAATTAAGGGAAAAGAGAATGAGAAGAGAAAATGAGGAGAGCAGTAAAGAAATCGAATAGAGAGAGGAAAGATGAAGGAATAGATGTGTGCAACTGAAAATAAATGGGTGAAATAGGAAAGTGTTAGACATAATAGATAGGAAGAAGTTGCGAATAGTGTGAAGAGATCAGATGAAAATTAAAATGGTTGTAAAATGAAGATTACAATGGCATTTAGGTAAGGAGAATGACATTGTAAAGTTAGTTAGAGAGAGGCAATGTAATTACGGGGATATATTAATAATTAATAGATAGAAATAGGAGTGAATAGACGTACGTAGTTAAGGAATATGATTGTAAACTAAATTCCTTTCTTGGCCATATAAGCTAAAGGAGAAGCAAAAATACTGATACTGAGTGACTCGACAGTCACTCCGCATTTTCGAGTGAAATTTCACTCCAAGAAACCTCGAAGGAAGCAAAACCCCCTTAACTCGCGTCGACGCGCTACGCAGGGAAGCAACAACTCGCGCAATTTAGCGCTGCAGAGCACTTATAATTGCAGAGTGCTGCGCTGAGGAAACACGGGAAGCTTGAGAAATTACAATTACGCTCCGCCGTAATTATCCCGCTGGGTGGAGCGGCGATGAACGGACACGGATCGCGTGGAAATACTTCACGAGATCGACAGGAACGCCGCGAGAGTGGATGATTGATCGCGAAATGACGCGGGTCCTTGCACGAGCACTGCAGTAGAGATGTGCGAATCAAAGATCTTTTATGTCGAATCGAATCGAATCTCAGATTTTAATTTCGAATTCGAGTAGAAACGAATCGGTGAAATTTCACCCGAATCGAATCGTTGAAAGAATTTTTAATTAACATAATCATTGAATTCAACATGAAAATAGTGACTTGAGAGAGATAACATTGATCATGTGATATCAATTCATTTTAAGGTAAGAGATATAGTCGGTAAACGTGTATGGAATACAGTTCCAGCCTTGAAAGCTGCGCAACGACACATATCGATCCGACAGTTGTCGGTAAGAGTTTCTCTAGAAGCCATTATTTTCTTTTAATATTTTTGAAGAAAATCTTAATGTATGAAAATGTAAACTTTTCAAGTCATGTTAATTCCCGTAGGGCTGGATGTCTTTAAGGGGACTAGAGGGTCAGATTGCCTGAAAATCGTGTTTTTCACAATTTTTTGTGACGAACTGAATGAATATGCGAAAGTGTTATTTTGACGTGTATTTATACAACATATAAAAAGAAGAAAAATATAATTTTAATAAACAAATATTCAATATAAGTGTATAGTACATGCAGTTAAAATATATTTCGGTTCTTTTTTTAAGGTTATCATTTTGCAGTAATATCTTGACTCTCGGTGGTTCAATTGAGCTGAATTTTAGGTAGAAGATTTCCGTAAGCTTATCATTATCGGGTGAACTGCTGACAAACTCGTGAAAATACTTAATTTTGAAATATTAATTTTTTTACTATAAAAGAACTGAAAATTTTAATAATATTCCATTAAGATATTTGCAATTTTGTTAATTTTTACTCAATTTCTATTATAGAAATAGAAATCGGCTTACCTGATAACGACAAGCTTACGGAAATTTTCTACCTAAAATTCAGCTTAATTAAACCACCGAGAGTCAAGATATTACTGCAAAATGAGGACCTTGAAAAGAAAAACGAAATATATTTTAACTGCATATGCCATATACTTATATTGAATATTTGATCACCAAAATTATATTTTTCTTCTTTTTACATGTTGTATAAATATACGTCAAAATAGCACTTTCGTATATTCATTCAGTTTATCATAAAAAATTGTGGAAAAACAAGTGCGATTTTCAGGCAATCTGACTTTTCAGTACCCTTAATAATACTTCGTTAATGCTGATGTATGCGATTCGTATTCGAAACTTTCCGATTCGAAATTTTCGAATTATACGGATTCGAAATTGAATCGAATCGAATTTCACTTGATTTAATTCGATTCGAATTCGAATAGTTTGCACATCTCTACACTAAAGGAAAAATTACCTTAAAATCAACAAATATTTCTTTGATGGATGCCATTAACATATTTACTTAAATCTAAATTCTCTTTATTTAAATCAAATATTGTTTACCTGATTTAAGTAAACAATATTTGGTTTAACCCTTCGTATACACATTTATTTTTTCAACCTTTGCATGTACAGTGGATGGTTGCCACCCACGGCAATTTTCAAACAGCTGTATTTTTTAAAATATTTATGCTAAAATTCTGAAAAAAATTTAATGTTTATAGAAAGTATTTACATACTTTCCGTATTAAAATTTAAGAAATTTTATATTACAAAAAATTATTATATTTCTGAAATCGATTTAAAAAAAAAGTGAATTTTTGTAAAAAAATTTGTAACTTGTAATTTTTATTATTTTCAAGTAAAAATTTAGCATTTTATTGTTGAAATGTTTATCTTTAAGAAAAAAATATCTCCTCTGGAAAAAAGTCATTTCTGGAAAAAGTATATTTATTTTGAATATCAAAGTTCCATTATTTTCACTTCAAACGACTGCCAGAAGCTAACTAACGCATATTTTGCTAGCAGAGTGAAATCAGAGCATAGTTAAGACCCCAAACTACAATTAGATGGCGACACTAGTCCCATTTATTACGGTACTTAGAAGATACAGAGCGCTGAATTTTAGTTATGGGTAGTAACCACGTATGTATACGAAGGGTTAAATAAAGAGAATTTAGATTTAAATAAATATGTTAATGGCATCCATCAAAGAAATATTTGTTGATTTTAAGGTAATTTTTCCCTCAGTGTAGACTGCAGATCATGTTGCAGTGAGCGTTGCATCGCCATTGGGGGACAATACATCGGCACGGGGGGCGCATTTATCCCCGGTTCATCCTCGGTGTCCCGGGATGCACACGAAAACCTATATTTGCCCGACGTAAAATCGATGCTGCGGCCGGCACTCAAATCTTTCGCTTCGTCGAGGAGAGGAGAGGAGAGGAGATTTGCGCCCGACGCGAATGAAATCGCGATAAAGCATGTCGGGGCCGACGGAGGCGCGAGAACCGCGACCATTCGCGGAACCGCGCCGTTCTTATCTCATTTTCTCTCCACGGGCGAATGCCGCGAATTGTATCGAGGTGCGGAGAAATCGCAAGAGAGGGACAATTCGCGCGAGAGCGAATTTTGTCGCGCGGCGGGTGCTTCTCGTACGAAGGACACCGCGCGCCCTTCCGTTCGCGTTCTCCCTTTAAGGGCCATGGCGCACAGAAGAAGCAAGTTAAGCAGTAAGACGTAAGCAGTGAGCAAACTGACCAATCACAGCCGTTGATTCTTGGACCGTAAGAAAAATCAGCGACTGTGATCGGTCAATTTGCTTACTGCATACGTTTTACTGCTTAAGTTTTTCTGCCTGCCATGGCCCTAAGCCTGCAAAAGCCTGGATTTACCTGTGCCCTAATTCGCGCTTATCAGTGCGGGCGCCGTGCATGCCCTCGTTGTAGCTGTCCAAGTCTTGCTCGCTACGATCGTTCCTGGTCAGTCCTACGTTAAGGCCGAGGATGGTTCGGTGAATCGATTCCTCGGGAAATATGTTCAAGTCATCCGGGAATCGCACTCTCGGCCCTGCACCGTCAAATATCGGGATATCGTCCTCGTTACTTGTTAAAAAAGGGTTCAGTGCGAAAGGAAAAGACGGGGGAAAAGGGAGAAGGAAAGAGCGTGGTGATATTCCGCGCGTTTTTCCGCGAGTTTCGTTTTTCCCTCGCGGCGGTTCTTACGAGCATAACGGGACGCCTTCGACGGAATGTGAGGATAAAACGTGAGCTAAAATTAGGTATAAAACTGTGCGTTACTGTCTCGGGGCCAAATTCTATAATTGGGATAAGCCGAAGGCGGCTTATAGCGAACCAGCGTCTGTCTCCGCGTTTGTGTGCGAAATGGACTTAACAGTTTCACGCACTGACAGCTCATCTAATTGCACCGAACCGTTCGGCTGTTCGGCTCCGAGGAAGCGACGAGAGAGGAAAAACGAAACGGCCACGCTGTTCTCGGGGATTGTTGGAGCAAGCGAGTCTTAAATAACAGAAACAATTACCAGTGCTGCTGCTCGCCGGCGTAATTATCACGTCGACGCTTCGGCGACTCATAGCGCGAATTAATGACGGTGCAGGTCGTTCACTTCCGCACAAGTTCGTTGCGAGTGTCCGTAGGAAGTTAGGTAGGTAGGTAGGTATGTAGGTAGACAGGCAGGCAGGCAGGCAGGCAGGTAGCTAGTCAAGAAAGTAGGCAGACAGGTGGATGAGTAGGTAGCTGGGTGGGTACGTGTGATCGCGCGCGTATCTTCTTCGAGCCGGCCGACGCGAGTGACAACGACGTAATGACGACGGGACGATTTTTCGAGTAAACAACGAGCGGACCCTCCTTGGCGAAAGCACGATAAGGACGCAGCGAAGCGGCCCCAGGGGTCATCGTTTGCGTGACGATAGCGATGAAGCAGGAAAGATAATCGCGACGCTCGCGTGATCGGATTCTCCGTTCCGTGGAGGAACGTGAGAGATTTCGTGGGTCGGGAGACAGACAGAGAGAGAGAGAGAGAAATAGAGATTAACATGTGCGGGGGAGTCGGAAATTGGTCACCATAATGCGTCTGACCGCATTATTTTGCGCCCTTGGCTGCCGCCTGATTGGGAGCTTCTTCCGATCATCGACGCGCACAATACACGACACTCAGCGTTTTGGCTCGGATACCGCGGAAATCCATGCCGTTCCAAACTTATGAGAGACGCCATAGAGACTTCTGAGACGTATTTGAGACGTCTCTTAGAAACCTTTAAATTCTGTATTAATAGTCGCTACCTAAAACTTGTCTCATGTGAGATAGTCAGATCTGAATTTAGAATTAAATGTGAGTTTTTCGGTTGTACTGCAACTTCAACGAATATAATGTCACGAATATCGTATTATTGGAAAACTCAGGTAAAATTTGAAATTCCGGTCTGAGTAGTTGATATGAAACAAATGCCAGATAAGAACCATTAATGTGGGCCTAATGTTTTAATGTATTAATAGTCGTTATTTGGAACATGTCTCATATACTCAGATTCGAGTTCAGAGTTCGATCTGCGAAGAGTTTTCAGTCATACAAATCATACAAATTAATAAAATTATATTATATAAATTAAGGGAAATAAACACTGTGACGGCCGAAAAAAATAGCTCTTCTTACCGAATTTTTGTGACATCCATAAAGCAGGTAGATAAATAAATCTTTTTGCATTGAATTAGTCGTCTTTTAAATTGTTGAAAAATATTTTTCCATTTGATGAAATACATTTTTATTTTGGTATAAAATATACTCTGCACCTGAAGTTCTTAACAGTCATCTGAAATAAAAAAACCCAAGATTTTCTTAAAATATATGAATGTAGTTTCAGTTAAGTGTACGGATTTTTTTTACGATTAACATTTCCCCCCCCCCCCCAAAAAAACGGTACTTTTTTAACGATTTTCGGACATTAAACGTGCGCTACTTTGCAAATAATTAAAATATTAAAATTTTCATACGCTTAGCTGAAACTACATTCATATATTTTTAAAAAATCTTGGGTTTTCAGATGACTTTTAAGGACTCCAGGTGCAAGGCCGATGGAGCTTGCAGAGCCTACTGCAGACACATTTTATAGCAAAATAAAAATATATTTCATCAAATAGAAAAATATTTTTCAACAGTTCAAAAGATGACTAATTTAATGCAAAAACATTTATTTATCTACTCGCTTTATGGGCGTCACAAACAATTCGCTAAACAGAGCTGTTTCTTTCGGCGATCACAGTGTTTATCTCCCTTAAATCGCACATACGATTTATACGGCATTATATTTATATAATCACGAGTCAACTGAGGAACTTACATCTAATTCTGAATTCCTGAATATCTAACTTGATAAACAAGTTTGAAATAACGACTATTAATACGAATCTGAGACGTTTTGGACGTTCGCGTTGGCTAGGAACGGACCCATCCACTTATCGATCTTGTATCGCGTCTAATTACTGTCACTTCAAGAAATGCCTCCATGACGCAATCGCGTCCCCGAGTTCGCCTTTTCGAGCAAGCTTCACGTTCGAGAAATGTGCATAAAGAGAGAAAGATAAACGACGCAATATGAGAAAAACGAAGCGAGTAACCCCGGCGATTGATTAAGCACAAAGTATCCGACCGATTAGGTACAAAGTATAACGTGCAACGTAAACGGCAGCAGCGGAGGCGAACTGTAAAACGACAAAAGAAACTCACACACGCATTTGCAAGTTGCGAACGTGTGTGTTCAAGTGCGTGCTCTGAGGCGTGCTGCGAAGCGTCTCGCTCCGACTCTGCTGGAGTTTTTCCAGCTTCGCGCTGTACATTGCGAAATAACGACGCGCGTGTGTATGTGTGTGTACACTAAAAATATCGTCTGTGCTATTTCCGAGATACACGGTATTTCGGATCGAAGTGTGCGGTGATCTCTTCGCATTACAATCTCAAAATATGGGACGTATTTGCGGGCGCACGCGATGACGCAGAAATGCGTATCTTTCGCCGTGGTATCGTGCCGTTTTTAGCGATACTGCGGCTCCGATAAGCCTGTGAAAAGTGCGCGATAACGAAGGATCGACGACACTGACCTTTGGCTGGCCTGCCGGTACCACTTTTTGTTGCCACTCGGGTCGTTATCGTGCTGCGGCGTGTTGGGCCCCGTATTTTCCTGGTCCCCGTGCGCGTTGCAATTCTCAAGCTCCATGATCAGCTGTAAATGCAAAGACAGTTACGTGGTGGAATCGTGATCGCGCTCGCGGTGATTCACTTTGCGCGCAACAAACGCCACGTGGACAACGTCGACCGTGAACAAGATTTACGACCGCAGACGCGACATACGCGATGAAAGACAAAAGCGCGGGTCGACGACGAATACGCCAAAAGATTAGACTCGAACACGTCAAAAGGCCAAACGTGGGGGAAGGGGGGAGGGAGGAATTTGCCAAGAGTCGCAGTGCGAGAAAAGAATATTTCTCAGCCCGGGTAACTGAAGGACCAGACTGAAAACTCGCTGACGCGAAAAATAATGTCTCTCTTACTGTGACTGAAAACATTTGTTTGAACGTTCAGCTGCGCTAAAACTCGGTTGTTGAATTTACTGAAAGAGGCAATCGGCAGAAATCTCCCGCAGGAATCTTCCTGCTGTTACAACCGAGTTTTTCTTCTGATCCCGAAGTAACAGAAAATTCAGTTACACTAACAGAGTTCCCAGGCACAGAGAATTCAAAAAGAATTCAAACAAAATTCAGTCGTATGTCACCAATTCTGAATTCATTTTCAGATGCAAGAAGAATTCTTCAAAGTTTATTTCAGTGAAAAGAATTCTTTTTGCATCTAAAAATTAACTCAGAATTGGTGGCATACGACTGAATTTTTTTTTTATTCTTTTTGAATTCTCTGTGCTATCTAGGTTGTTTTTTACGTACATAAAAAAATTTTCAATTCGAACAACTGAATGGAGGTCAGACGAAAAATTCGCTGATGAAAAATAATATCTCTGTTTGAGAGACCGAGAACATTCGTCTGAACGTTCAGCTATATTAAAACTCGATTGTTGATCCAGACGGCACAGATCTCCAGCACAGAAAATATCCTGGGAACGTTCTCAGAAAATCTTTAGAATGTGGAGATCTGCGCTGTTTAAGGAGTTTACTGAGAGCAGTTGGCAGAAATTATCCGCAGGAATCTTTCTACTGTTACAACCGAGTTTTTGATCTGATCCCGAAGTAACAGGAAATTCAGTTACATTAATGCCCGTTTTTACCAATGTTGATTAAACCTTAATACGAATTTATGCAATTCTAAGCAAATATACGAGTAAGGGCCGATTTTTCAATAGCAGTTTAAATTTGGATTCAAGTTTAAACTCTATTCTAACAATGCGTTTGTTTTGTTTAAACAGAGTTTGAGTTGAAATCTAAGTTTAAACTATCATTGAGAAACCGGTCTTAATTCATAAAATCGTAGTCATAGCTTATGAATAAAACAAAAGAAAATCGTAGATATTTACGAATTATCATATGACGCATAGAATTGCAGATCTACTCATAAGTTCTTACGAGTTTACGAAAACAAGTTACGAGTTTTACGATTTTGTCTAGAATTGCAGTATTAAACTCTACTCACACGACTTAAACGTAGCTTAAGTTTCAAACGACATAAAAAAAAATGAACAGAGTTGTTTTCCCAAATAGTACAGAGAATTAAAAAAGAATTCAGTCATATGTCACCAATTCTGAGTTCATTTTTAGGCGCAAAAGAATTCTTTTCATTGAACTGAACTCTGAAGAATTCTTTTTGCATCTGAGAATGAACTAAGAATTGGTGACACACGACTGGATTCTTTTTAAATTCTCTGTGCTATCTGGGTTTCTTTCCCGTGCAGGATTCGTCCGACAGATATTTTATCGAACGCGAAAACCGCAGTTCCGCGTGTGAAAAATCATTTTTCATGTAAAATATCTCAAGTGAAGTTACTACTGCAATTACGTGCACTTTGTGCACGCAGCTTTTGTCCCGCAAACGGAACACCGGCCATTAACAGGTTACAGTGTATTTCGCAAGACAGAGGCATTCAAATCGTATTCGGCGGGAGCGAGAAACCAGCGAATCGCAGTCCGCAGATCAGTAGTGAAGTTTTTCGCCGGAGATCATTTCGGCCGATCTCTCTCTCTCTCTCTCTCTCTCTCTCTCTCTCTCTCTCTCTCTCTCTCTCCCTCTCTCTCTCTGTTCTCGGTTATTCTCTCGGGACAGTCGGTTTGGAAAGTCAATAAGCGGTCACAAGAGAGGGACGATGCACTAACGATCGCGGACATTAACAACCATTTTTGTCGGCGGTAAGAAGCGGAAGATCGGTCGCGTCGATCGCGTCGATCGCGTCGAGCAACCGCACTGGATGGTGTATCGCCATTCAAATCGTCGCTCGCGCGTGTTATTGTTTACACGGAAAGGTGTGCGGAAGATAAGACGGCGGGCGAGATAAACAGAGTTTGTTTGTCGCGCTCGACCGACAAGTTGTGCCGTGAGTCGAGACGAGTCGACCGCGAGAACGGCAGGGAAGGGCGTCGTTGTTTTTTTCACGTCATTACCTGCTCGCTGTAGTTGCGTGTCGCGTGTTTTCAGACGTAGGACGCGGTGGCACTCGCTCGCAAAGCCACTGGAGACACCACGAGCTGTCATCTGAGTGTCGGCAAGCCGCTCCACGCCCTCACGCGATGCAGATTCACTGCGTACTGCTGCATATATAGCCGGGTCAATCGGCCGAACTGTGCGCCGACCTCGGCGCAGGTGTGCCAATCGATCGCTCGCGCGCGCGCGAGAACCGACCCTCGAATTCTCTCTCGACGCGCGACAATCGATCGACGCGACTCGATCGAGGAAATCGTCGCGCGATAATAAGGACGACTCGTCTCGATAATAAGGGCCGTAGAGATCCTGTAATAAGAGATCGGACACCATATGTCAACGTTTTGATTGGCTGCGCCATGTTTGGCTCCCTGCTTCCGGTTAGGATCATCAGCTGAAAATGGGCGCGTTCAGCGGAAAAAGCGCTCAGTGAGCAATCAGCGATTATTGGTTCTTACTGTTAGATTCCTAAATCTAAACCAATTACATTGACGAATTACTCAACTGTTGTGCAACTGTTGAGTTCGCTGAACGCACCCAATGACAACACAAGCAATGGTCTGTACTTTTCAGCTGCACTGGCTGCACTGCTGAACTGGTGCAATAAGCTAAAGCCCGGTATTCATAGTCGTGTCTTATTTCAAGTAATATCTTAGGCCGGTATTCATAGTCCGATCTTATATTTAAGATCATCTTAAGTACTGTCTTAAGATGTCATCAACCAATCATAGGGCTGTATTCGCATCTTAAGACATTATTTAAGACGGTCTTGAAATAAGGTGCGACTATAAATACCGGCCTTAATATCTTAAGATGCAAATATCTGTGATTGGTTGATGACATTTTAAGAAAGTACTTAAAGCCAGCAGCACACGATGCTTGTTTTCATGCTGGATTGCTTGCTGGATGGAAATTCTCTATTCTGATTGGTCCGTCTTCAGAAATGCACCAATCAGAACAGAGTATTTCCATCCAGCAAGCAATCCAGCAAGAAAACAAACATCGTGTGCCGCTGGCTTAAAATGATCTTAAATATAAGATCGGACTATGAATACCGGCCAAAGTGAGATAAATATACTTCCGGTTTGGACCCAGGCTAGTATCCATAGTCCGATCTTATATTTAAGATCATCTTAAGTACTGGCTTAAGATGTCATGAACCAATCACAAAGCCGTATTCGCATCTTAAGACATTACTTAAGACGGTCTTAAAATAAGATTCGACTATGAATACCGGCCCCAAACATGGCGAATCTAGTATCTACAGGCGACGATGTCCGATCTCTTATCCCAGTTCCACAATCTTCAGTTAACTTAACTGGCTGGTTATTCCATTGGCCTTGACCAATCGCATTTGACATTAAGAAGAGTTAATCAGAATGAACCAATCACTATTGGGACTTAACCGGTAGTTAAAATTAAACGAATGTTGTGGAACGTGGCCTTAAAGGATCTCTAGGTTATCGCGCACAGAGATGCCCTCTGAGCGTTGATTCTGAATCTTTTCGCGTGAAACGATTTTGGCCACATTCCGTTTCACGTATATGCGCCTATTTACGTATAGTTTGTTAAGGCTGGTTTATGATGGCATTGATCTGTTAACTTATGCCGGAATCGTCAAAAATTGACCAATCACAATCGATTATTCTTCTATAATTCGATTATGATTGGTCAATTTTTTACGGTTCTGGCATAAGTTAACGAATTATGGCCATCATAAACCAACCTTTACATATATTGTTTATTGCAATTACATATTGCAACATATATTGTAAATGCAATTCTGATACACTTTTCACTCTTGCTTGGAATCAAGTGTAAAAAGTGTATCAAAATTGCAATTACACTCGTAACACGAACAGAACTCATGACGTCATTTTTAGAACCTCTAAAGAATTAATGTGCACTAAGTGTGAAAGTGTAAAAAGTTCAATTAATGCAAATAAACTTATTGGATATTAGCTATTTTCAGATGGCTCACATCTTCAAAGGATGTCCTAAAAATATTCTGATGACATCCCTCCGTCTTAAAAGCGTCTTCAGAATGTATTTTGGAAAATTTGTATTGTATGAGGTGCACTAGTGTGCAACGGGCATTAGGTGTAAAAGTGTAAATAGTACAAGCAACTCAACAAACCTATAATTGCATTGTAAACGATTCTTTAAGTCATAAACAATTGACAATCTATTCCAAGAATAATCGACTGTGATTGGTCAATTGCTTACAGCAAGGTTGTGAACCTGTGGAAAGTAAAATTTTATCAATAGGAAAATTGATCAATTCTTTTTGAAACGTAAGAAAAACCACCGACTGTGGCTGGATTCATGTGGCAGTGAATTCATTCACTGTTAAAATTTTGCTGCTACGTTTTTCTGTGTGCTTCCGGCCTAAGCAAACTGACTAATTACAGTCGACTAACAACTCCAATCGAATATGCTATAACCTATTGCGTATAGTAATTCAGAAGTTTAAGAACAGACCTAATGAACGCTTGTTAGTCAATTGTGTATCTCAAAACGGAGTGAAAATTACAAGTGAGCAAATTCCCTAGGCATTGACCAATAAAGTTACAAATATTCTAGTAAATTTAAATTTGTTTACTTTTGTAATTTTCATTCCATTTCGAGATACACAATCGATTCCCCAGTTGCCATGGAATGTTCGCGATCCAAGTGACCTCAACAGATGTTACAGTAAACTCCTCACGATGGCGACACTGCGCGCGCCGCGAGTAAACGCGCGTAAATGCGAACAATGGGCGCGTTCAGCGGAAAAAGCGCTCAGTGAGCAATCAGCGATTATTGGTTCTTACTGTTAAATCCCTAAATCTAGACCAATTACATTGGCGAATTGCTCAACAGTTGCACAACAGTTGAGCAATTCATCAATGTAATTGGTCTAGATTTAGAGATCTAACAGTAAGCTGGTTGCTCACCGAACGCTTTTTCCGCTGAACGCACTCAATGATGGCGAATTTGACGTTTCGCTCGCGACGTGGAATGAGCTCCCCTTTCGAAATTACCGACTGCGGTTACGACTTTTCGCCCACATTATTTTCGTATTTTTGGCAATGCCTAATCGAGCACGATCACTACAAAAATATGACCACTCAAAGAAAATATACGAGAAGAATAGAGATACGCGTCGCGTTTTTAACAAAATTCGAACTGTAACATTGTTCAACTCTTGTTAGATTTATTGAGTTAAGTGGAAAAGTATGCGCGCAAAGTTGCTCTCCAATGTGTCCGCAAACATCGAAGTATTATCAAGTGTTACGTGATTAATGGCTTTAAGGAAAGGTTAATTAAAGAATGACGCGTCTATCTCGTTCTCTCTGTCTCTCTCAGATTCACTCAAGACCTGGTGTGCGAGAGAGCAGAGAGACGAGCTGTAGAGGAAGATCAGGCGATGTGGCGTGACACATGATTAAACAATAAATAATGCACCTGTCGAATAGCCGAGGCGCGGACAAGGCGCGGAGCACTGCGACCCGTGAAAACGGCGTCGTCGTCGGCTGCGGCGGAGGCGGCGGTGACAGCGGCGACGGCGGTTACAGCGGTGGACGAGTTCGTCCGTAGCGCCGTTCGGTCGTAGCGCGAGCCGTCGGTTCGTTGTCGGCGGAGCGCCGAGATCCGCGGAGTGGTAATAGCGAGAGGAGTAGGAGGAGGTAAAAGCCTTTGCCTGGCGACTTTTGCGAATCTCCACGCGTACACGCCGCTCATCATCGTGCCCGCGCTCTCGTCGGCACGTCGACGGAGACGACGATCGCGGCGACTCCTGCGAGAACGAACGAACGAACGCACGCACGTAGCTGTGCGCGTCGTGCCCTCGCCGTGGCCGTGCCGAGGAGCAATTGCGTCGTTCATCAGTATTGCGTAAAATTAATCCTATTTGGGTGACCTCGCGGGGCTCTCGCTCGCTCGCTCTCTCGCGACATAACCTACAAAGCGTCGCGCGACACTGCGCCGCCGCGCCGCGCATCTCTCGCTCGCGGCTACATGACGGAGCATTTCCTTCTTATCTTTTCTGATATCCGCGAACGAACAAACGAACGAACGAATGCATAGGCTTTCCGCGGTGAAGTCCGCCGCGAGGATGGCACGTAGATACGCGCGGCGAACGACATATCGTGCGGTGCGCGGGCCTGCACAGTGAGAGAAGAGAGAGATAGAGAGAGAGAGAGAGAAAGAAAGAGAAGGAACGCGCAGAGTGGGGGCAGCAGCGGCGGCGGCGGCGATCGCGCCGCTCCGTGCCGCGTCGTGTCGTGTCGTGGCCCAACCCACTTTTGACGTGTGGCCGCTCTGAGGTCTGACAGGTCCCTGAACCATGTACCCGCGGTGATACGAGTCGCGCATCTCCTCGAGCAGAGTACTCGTCCAACGGCCGGAGCGTCCACTCCGCTCCGACGAACGAGCGTGTCGTCGCGCGCGTGTTGCGTCGCGTCGCCCTTCGCCGCTGCGTCTCAAATGGGTATGGAATTTTACGCGACGACGATCCGAGAGCCATAGCGCGTGGACATAACCTTTAAAAGTCGCGACACGGCCGAGTTGTGTCACTCTTTCTCACTTCGTTAGCGTCGCTCGCTCGCTCGCTCGTTCGTTCATTCATCCGTTCGTTCGACGCGGCGATGTCAAGAACCGTGATTACTTCGTCGGCCTTCCGTTGTTGAGTTTCGCCTCGCGAAAACGATAATCCGTCTCTCTGAGCGACTGTTCGGGCCCGGAAACATCCGCATCCGCCTGCCTTCTTCATATTTTATTATTGTGCATCGTGATTCGTTCATTTGTGTCGCTGCGTTCTCGCCTTATTTTTAAGTTACATGCACTACGTGTTCGTCGTACTGTACCTGACGATGTTCAGTTTGATTCTGTTCTGTATACTTCTGTTCTCGCGCGACGTCATATCGAGGATACAGTCTGTTTTGTATCTTTGAGTTCTCGTCGCCGTTTTCGATTCAAATAAATTCTCTTTTTCACGCAAACGAACTTTGTGTTTTTATTTCGCGCACTTTGATGCAACACTCGCGCGTGCCGTACCCACTATTTTTCCTTACATATCAATTCTGCACAGACAAACTTGCACTTGTAAGTATGCATTGAGATGATTTCCCGTTACATTCACTCTCTTGACATTATTCCCTTCCAATTCTGTCATAATGCAACTTTGCTGTGAAATCAAATATTTCTTTTCTAGTCGACCAATCCCAAATTAGTTAATGCTCACATTCAACTCATCAAGTGTTCTGTACATACAGCTTTACAAATTATTTATAAATTAAATCACCAATCAGAAGATATCTGCAGACTCATTAAACTCTACATTATGAAACTGACTGTCGCATTGATGCCGATCAACCTGGCCTTTAGTTTTTCACGTAGATCCTCTAGCTAAGTCTCAGGTAATAACTGCATAGTAATCGTTCTTTGTTAGTTGTCAAAGCGATGGTGTACTAAGAGTTCGACATTTGTGGACTGATTAATTGAGAAAATTCTCCAAGTTGAGAAAATGAATAATCAAGCGTTCAGTCTGGCGGAGAGGCTTATACCCTCCACCTATGTGCAACAAGGTCTAAACGCCAAGAAATCTCGTGAGAATCTCATACGACACTTTATTGAACATGTAAGTGGCACCCAGTTGATGCACCTATGATATCCCAGCACCTATGATAATGAGCAGAAGCTCTCAAATCATTGCCATCTTTAAGATATCCTTAAATGTTCTTTAAGAAATGTCTTGAAGACATTTCTTAGACACTTAAGGATATCTGTCTTGAAGACATTTCTTAAAGAACTCTTAAAGATATCTTAAAGTTGATGCATCTATGATATCCCAGTGAGCAGAAGCTTTCAAATCGTTGCCATCTTTAAGATGGCATCTTTAAGATATCCTTAAGTGTTCTTTAAGTAGTCTTCAAGATATTTCTTAAAGAACTCTTAAAGATATCTTAAAGTTGATACATCTATAATATCCCAGTGAGCAGCTCTCAAATCGTTGCATTAGCCATTTTTAAGATATCCTTAAGTGTTCTTTAAGTAGTCTTCAAGATATTTCTTAAAGAACTCTTAAAGATATCTTAAAGTTGATACATCTATAATATCCCAGTGAGCAGCTCTCAAATCGTTGCATTAGCCATTTTTAAGATATCCTTAAGTGTTCTTTAAGTAGTCTTCAAGATATTTCTTTAAGTAGTCTTCAAGATATTTCTTTAAGTAGTCTTCAAGATATTTCTTAAAGAACTCTTAAAGATATCTTAAAGTTGATACATCTATAATATCCCAGTGACCAGCTCTCAAATCGATGCATTAGCCATCTTTAAGATATCCTTAAGTGTCCTTTAAGAAATGTCTTCAAGAACTCTTAAAGATATCTTAAAGATGGCTAATGCGTCGATTTGAGAGCTTCTGTTCACTGGGTATGCATATATAAAATATATATATATATACATTCCACAACATTCAATTTTCCAACAGCGAAAATGGCCAGAGGAAGGTTGGGACGACGCGACGATAGAAGCGTTTCTGTCAGACCTCTCGCAAATGGACAGCAATAACTTTCCCTCAAACTGCAGCGTCGGTGAACGCGAGGCGAGAATCGTGTCGAATATCGTCGCCAGACGACACTTTCGTATGGGCCACGGCATAGGGAGATCTGGCGATCTCGAGGAAGTGCAACCCAAGGCTGCTGGTAGCAGTTTAATGTATAAATTAACTAACTCGCTAGTGCTCGAAGTCATACGATATATGGGTAAGGAGCATGAACTCGATGTCAGTTACAACTGAAAATTAACTTAACATAATGTAAAGTAATTGAAAGATCGGTTTTAGCAATTATAAAATATCTGTTGAGGAGACCAGATTTCCAAAAAAATTACATATAGACATGTGAAAAATAATTTAAGACCTTTTACATTGTCTATCTTTTTTTAATGATGTCAGAAGCAAGAAAATGTATGCTAAAAATTCTTGCAAAATATGTTAAAAATGTAAAGAATATGAAATTATTTGGACGAGTTGTCAGTTATAGCTGAGAATTAACATAATGTAAAATAATTGAGAGATCAGTTTAGCAATTACAAAATATCTGTTGAGGAGACCAGATTTCCAGAAAATTACACATAAACATGTGAAAAATATTTTAAGGCTCCTGGCCTCTCGCATTGTCTATCTCTTTTTAATGAAACTCTCTAATGAGATCTCTTTTCAGAAGCGAGAAAATGCATGCTAAAAATTCTTGCAAAATATGCTAAAAAATATATATCCATAAAGTAATATTTGCAATCGATTAAACGAGTTTGTAAGATGTTCCGTGCATTCCCCTTTCGTTCTAACAATTAATAATTTGTTATAAGTTAACGCAATATGCAATTCATCTCCTTAATCTATTTCTTCGCCTATTTCTATTCATGTTAATTTACAATAAATTATTGATTGTTAGAGCAAAAGGGAGTGCACGGAATATCTTATAAATTTATTTAATCGATTGCAAGCGTTACTTTATGGATATATATATATTTTTTTTTTAACATATTTTGCAAGAATTTTTAGCATGCATTTTCTCGCTTCTGACGTCATTAAAAAGAGATAGACAATGCGAGAGGCCAGGAGCCTTAACAACAAAATTTAACACAAAAATGTCTTGAATTGCAGGAGTAAAGAGCATAGCGGGTTGCTTCTTGTCGCCAATGGCTACGGGGATGAGCCTAGTTCTGTGTATGTTAACGCTTAAGCAAGACAGACCACGGGCGAAATACGTTCTATGGCCTAGAATTGACCAAAAGTCTAGCTTCAAATCTATAATCACAGCGGGATTAGAGCCCGTCGTCATCGAAATGCAAATAATAGGGGACGAATTGAAGACCGACATGCAGAGACTCGAGGCTCAAATGGCGGCCTTGGGTGAGAGCGTCGCTTGCGTACTCACAACGACCAGTTGCTTCGCGCCCAGGGCGTGCGACTCCGTGGACACGATCGCGGCTCTTTGTACTCAATATAACATACCGCATCTGGTGAACAATGCGTATGGGTAAGTAGAAGAATCTACGATTGTTCCACTCGCATCCGCGAAAATCGATATCTTGCTGTCGGAACGACCGGTGCCGCTCTTTAATTCGTAATGCGAGCGACAGGGGAGACATCGGTCGCTGCGACTTCGAGATATTGATAAGATATATTCTGGTTGAAAGTTATTACTAAATATATTGCACTATACTGCTAAAAGCTTGCAGAGTACAAGATGTATGCACCTCATACAAGAAGCATCGAGGAAGGGTCGCGTAGACGCCTTCGTTCAGAGCACGGACAAGAACTTTCTAGTTCCAGTGGGCGGTGCTATCATAGGTTCCTTCGATAAGAATCTGTTGGATCGCATATCGAAGATGTATCCCGGACGCGCGAGCGCGAGCTCCGTCATGGACGTGATGATCACGCTGTTGAGTCTTGGAATGGCAGGGTACAAACAATTGATTGCTCAACGTAAGGAAATGTATTCTTATTTGAAAGAGGAGCTGGGGAAATTGGCCACCAGACACGGCGAGAGACTGCTGGATACCAAGGGGAATCCGATATCCATGGCTATGACTCTCCAATGTCTGAGTCATCAGCACGACAACAAGCAAGTTACTATGCTAGGATCAATGCTATTTCTCCGTAACGTTAGTGGTACTAGAGTAATAACGACTACAGATTCTAAGCACATCGTTTCACATAAGTTTGAAGGTACATACCATAAAGCATGATTTAATGATACATTGAGAATACCTATGTATTATTGATAACTTGATATCTCTCTGGCGTACGTCACACGTGCGCGCAAATATGTGTGAGCGTGCTGCATTATTTTCATTCATTTCCTTTTATCCGAGTTCAATACTTTATCGAAGTTTAACAGAATCAATTTCAAACTACATACTCCTTTTTCTCTCTCTTTCTCTCTCTCTCTCTCTCTCTCTCTCTCTCTCTCTCTCTCTCTCTCTCTCTCTATCTCTTGATCCTCAACAGGTTGGGGAGCACACAACAGCAATTACAGAGTTCCATATCTGACTGCTGCGGCAGCATTAGGCATGAAGAGATCCGACGTAGACGCGTTCATACAAAGATTGGATAAAGCTTTAACGAAAGTGAGGAGGCGTTCAGCACCGGTGACGCCCACCGCTTCTCTCGCCGGCTCCAGCATTAATGGAGACGCGGGTGGTACCGGTGGACCAGGAGAATCCAGCACAGCTTCAACCAGCCGCGCGAGTAGCAAAGACAGCCTGAGAAAATGAACCGTAATCAACGCAACTGGCCAGTCCAATCAGCACATTAATATCAATTTGTAAGTAATTTATCACTTGCAAATTGTTATCTGCAGCATATTTCTGGGAAATGCAATTTGACGAGGAGTTTGTTTACAATCGTTATCGTGTTACGTGTTTGAGTTGACAGGAATTACAAAATTCAAAGCAGTGAATGAAACTTTTCATTTATTTTTCAAGTTATATAATACACACTTCTTCAGGACTAATAGAAAAACATTCCTCTTAAACAAGATAATACAGTGACACTTGTTGTAAAACGACAGTGTCGGCAATGTATTGTCTTGTTTTGAAAGAGATCGTAAAATTTACATGCATTTCACAGACATATGCTAGATCCAAATGTGCTGATTCGTCTGTCCTCTTGCGTTGAGATATTGTCAATTCAAACCATATACCAAGGAATGGTAAGTTCAGACATTAAAGAGAGTGATCATCTCAAAGTTAACATTTGAAAACGAAGAAAAGGAAGCATGAAGCATTAGAATTCTCATGGGTCTCTTTTAAAATATTTAAGTGATAAGCGCTGGCCGCAGATATGGTTGTTAAGTTTGTTCTTTGTTGAAATGTATACGCTATTATTTATAAAAAAAATAGGGAGTGTTAAATTCTTATACTTCTCATCTTCTTGCTTTCTAATATAGTTTGGTATAAATGAATACGAGGAGACATATTAGCTAAAGTATCATGAATTGTACATAAATATGTACTTGCTTTGTATATTGTAGATTTCCTTTCTAAACGAGCGACTAAAATCTTTTACAATTACGTCGATATACGCAGCAGTATCTAACACTCTGATTTGATGACTATATTTGCCGTGCTACTCTGCTAAAAGCTATTGTATTTTTTAGGGCATTTATATAATTATATAATTACTTATTCTGTCATATATTGGCTTCAAATCTCTATTTGAACACTGCACATGGGACGTATTTTTCCCTTCTTTTTCTTCAATTTAAACGGCAAGTTTACGATAATTAAGTAAAAATATATATTATATGTAAAAAAAATGAAGCTCTATAGTAAAATATCGACACGAACACACTATTAGGAAAGTATGTCAAAATTTAGATACAACGCAATGACACAACGTGATATACGAGAATGTTACATTGGATTTGCAAGAAGACTAATATTTTTGTGTATATAAGCGTCATATGTTGATTTTTATTTACAACAATTAGAACAACATCACATTGCCATTTTGTTTTAAAAAAATACGGATGATGTTATCTTGAATTATATTATCGTATAATAAGGAAAACACACACTGTGTATCTCTCTAAGCTAAATATTTTATGTAAATATTAATATTATTTTTTCAAAACATTTAGCACGCAACTTTTGAGCAAATAACATCGTAATACCGAACACAGATTTATATACACAGATATACACACGCCATACGCGACTACGAACAGTCACACACGCAATTTATACATGAGTACGGAAAAAAGTATGTTTATACGTTTATATATCTGAATAGGTATATACACAGATATTCATACTTGCACCCCATTCATTGCGTATGAGGGACAGTTGATTTGAAATCTCACACAATCTAGAAAGAATGTTATATCAAAGTTATATTTATAAATATTTAATAGATGTAAAAAGAGAGAGACAAACCACAATAAGCAAATTATATTAGCGCTGTTAAAACTCTATTGTGAGATTGTATAATTTACAATGCCTACTGTTAATACAATTTTTCATTAGACAGAAGCATTATTTACTTGCGTTACTCACTTGTCGGGGCTTGGATTTTGCGATATAACATCCTATGTTCGACATCGATATTAGAATATTAGTCGATATCTGGCGAAATTTGATAACAGAACACGACGACTTTTTATAAGTCACCGGCAAGTTCTACGAAATATATTATTATTATTACGAGCAGAAAATGCAGTGGTATATACGAATTAGCGTTTAATTAAATGCTTAGTTGGTAGTTTATTAGGACGGCAGTGCTGATCAACATTATAAAACTCCTAGCGTACTAATTATACGTAATTATAGAGATTCATATCTTTCAATTTTAATTGACGATCGCTGTAATTTTAGTAGATTGACGATCCTTTCGTATACGTGCATATATATCACTTTATTTTCTTTTCTAAAATTTATCGATGCTACAATCTGCAGGATTTCCTCGGATCTTTGATATAAAACATCTTTTTACTTATATAGATTCTTTGACTAATTCGAAGAAGAAGTCGATTCTCCACGTATTAATCAAAGTGTATATAAAAGGTGGCTCGATAAGTCTGAGGCGGTCCTGTACGTATTATAGCACTCGTGCTTTCAGACACAAGACGAAATATTATACAATCGTATTACGTATCTCAGCCTTAAGTCGGAGTTGTGTGTCATTAACTGTTTATTTATCTCAGAGAAGAAATATTACATACAGAAGAAAAATCTAAGACGTAGTAAGAGGTTGCAAAACTATTGCTATAAGGAGATTCTCGTATATGATGCTATAATAGGAACTGTATTGACGTTATAATATTATTTAATAAAGAAGAAATTATATGTATATACATATATATACATAATATACATATATACAGAGCGACTTATATATCAGGCATTGTGATATCTCGATGTGTTCAGGCCGTTACGTCAAGAGAGAGAGAGAGAGAGAGAGAGAGAGAGAGAGAGAGAGAGAGAGAGAGAATATTTGACACGAAAAATTGCATATTATTTCGACCTGTTCAGTGATTATGTCAATGAGTTTGCATTATATTTAATATATTTACTTACTAATAACCATGCGAATTTGGCCGCTAAACGGAGCAATAATTAATAATGTAAAATATTTCCGAAGGGTTATACTTTTCATTCTGCAACGAGACGAGGTGTTAGAAATTTTCTTATTAAAGAGCAATAGACAAATCACCCCTATATACGTATACATATGTATACATGTATATATACGTATACATATATGTAATAATAGTGATATATTCTAGAATAACGTACGATCTTATGATTCTCGTACTCGTAACATTCCTATGTAAATAAAAAAAAGAGGTCTTTATCTTGTTCACCTCCATTCTCCCAGCTGGATTTTGTAAAGCGAAGGCCAGCTTGACGAACATCTCGCGCGCGCCTTTCACGCATACAACGACACTTATGGACCTAATTTTAATCCCCCCTCGGCCCAGTCCTTCCTCACCGTTGAGTTTCGAACACTGAGCGCGCTTTGACTGCAATTGATTGTCTTTTATAACGATAAATAATATTCTAACAGACAGGCAAAGAGAGCGAATGCGTTTGACTCGGGGTTGTACCTATGTTCTCGCACGAGGATAATGTATAATTTATATAAGGAATAATATAAACAGAAAAAGCCTCACCGAATCACCGTATTATTAAGTTTAACAGTCGGTACGTACTAAAATGCGCAGCAATTAAGGCTTTATGGAATACGCAATATATAAGGCGTGAAAGGAGAGATAATCACATTTCACACGTAACTCTGTCCGAAAAAAAGAGTTTGATTTTTTAATTTTAATATATATATATATGTGTCAATAAACACACGCACGCCACACATACACACATATGTGTACACATCTCTAAATACACACCTCGCTGACACACACATTGTATATACGCAGTTGTTTTAACGAATTTTTTAATGAACGCATTCGAGACTCGCATTATACGTAAGAGCAAAATTTCAAGCACGTAAATTAAGCACCATTATTGCATCATGCTATCAAATAGCGCAGCATCCTCTCGATCGCGGACAATTTATTATTTGTAAGCCGACGATCTCTTTAGGCATTATTTGACGAAAACTTGAATAGCGACACCGAGCGAAAAGAACAAAACCAAGCGAAAAATGTACAGAATAATTCGAGTATGACGGGCAAACGAATGGATATCACATCTCCGTGTGTTTCTAGGTAAATGTTTTCGTTTGATAATTCAAGATAAAAGAAGATACGTGACACGTGATACATGCAGAATATTAATCAAACAATTAGAGTATGTAAACAGCGTAATGTACAAGTTCTTCCCCGAATATGATTATTGTGTAACAGTTAATGCTTTATTTGTAATATATGCAACTATTGGATAAATAAATATAAAAACTGTTAAGCAACGCTCCTTTTCTCGGCTTGATACGATGGATTTTCTGTTGCGTGTGCGCTTACTCTGTCAGCCGTTTATTGAACTCTGATGATGTGTATTAAAGTGTCAATGTCGTGCTGACAGCGCATTTGAAATATCGCGACAGACCCGGGGCCGTATTCCTAACGCGTATTCGAACGCTAAGTACGGCCTTTTTAGGTTAAGTTCGTACGTTTTCGCGAAAGCATCATTGTATTTTCCTTCGGCGTATAATGATCGACAAAGATAAAACGGTGCTTTCAACGCGAAAGCGTGCAAGACGAGCTTAACCATATTCCGAGTTCCGTCTTTCTTGTACGAGCGTCTTATATACAAAGTTGTTTCAGCTTGAGAATCAAAAAGGCATACTTGGTATTTGAATGTCAAGAATATGACCTTCGGCATCGATCATATATTTGAATGAAACTCGAGAGCTCACCGATATTGTCAGATAAAAAAATCTGGCAATAGAAATCGAGGCATGATGATTAGGAAAGTCAAACAACCCGCCAGTTTGACAATTTTCCCGCACACGCGCTCAGAGTGCGCTCTCAAGGAAGTAACAAAAAAGGTGCAACAATTTTAGTGTAATTTTTGCTCCTTATCCAACAGTGGGATCAATTATTAATTGATGTAAATGCTGAGTAAACATTTTTAGTTGTTGAGTAAAAATTTAATTAAATTTAATAAAATTTAATTTAGCGTTAAGTGGAACGCACTCTTTGAAGGAGCTTTTTGCGCGCATGCGTGAAAGACACGGTCCGCCATCACTGAGATTGAGCAGATGTTATGTTTTCACTCGACAGGTGTGACAGAGTGATATCACCGGTGTATCGTACCGGTATTATTATGAAATTTTACATTAGCTAAAAAACGTTAGTTACAAGTAACAACATTTGTGGCTGTGATGTATATAAATTATTTAATAAATATAACTAATATCCTATAATTTATGTTGAATTTTTAAATAAGCATTCTGACAAAAGGGTATAACCTAAATCGACATGTGCCATACGTTTCTATGTTGGAGAGAGCATAATGATCTTTGTATATTTTAAACGCTATAGAATAATGTTTCATACTTTATTTCACTTTGCAAAATTTGTTGAACTCCCTAGTAGTATAAATTTTTGAATTATAATCAAAGAATTAATTGGGTCCTTTGTCCTGGTTGTTTTGATAGATAGAATTATTTTTTTCCTTATATATTGTTTCATCATTTCATTTATATATCTTTGAATATAAGCATTGTAATAAGAATGTAATCATGATCTTTTTTATTTCAGTACAATTAATATGGCAAAAAACAAACTGCAAGAGACAAGAACTACAAAGACTAGAGTCAAATCTGTACATATAAACTTACCTAGATCAAATAAAAATAAGAAAAATATGTTATCCACTCATACTATAGCCACTGCTCTATGCATCATCGTTGCTTCTTGGTTTGGATTTAAAGGATATCTTGAAACAAGAGTAAATACTCCATTTGATATACAAAAGGTATGTATTTCTGTATATATTTTTAAATTTTATGACAGATTATTGCAAGTATCAAATGCATAATTACAGAAGGTATAAAATTAAATACAGCATTGATATTTTTAAAAGAAAACTAATAATTTCTTTGTTTGGGACCTACAGCTAGTTATTGGATCTAGTTTGGATTATCCGGATAGATATTGGGGCACATACAGACCTGGTGTTTATTTTGGCTTAAAGACAAGAAATCCACACTCTTTAGTAACTGGTTTGATGTGGTATTTTCCACAGCTCTTACTTCCAGATGGCACTGGATTGAGACATTGGTGTGAGCAAAGCGATGGACTAGACAGGTACTGAAATCAAAGTTTCTACGATTCTCTATCGTTAAAATTGTTTTTGAGGGCTTTCAAAGATGTATATAGAACCATATGGTTCCATATAAAAACTGAAAGTGATTTTTTATGAAAGAAGTTTTTGAAATTTTTATCATTGCATTTTATTATTGTTTAAAAAACTGATTAACTGCATATGAAACTTTTCTTGTCTGATCAGTATAACTGGTAAAAATATAGTGAATACCATTACAGTGAACATACATACATCCTTTGTGTATATTTCAAACTTCTGTTATTCAAATCATTACTTGTCAGATACGCGTGGTTGGAACACGATGGAAGAACATTTGGCGTTCAAGAAATAGTAGACAATGCCACGATTATCAAGACAACGTTTGTGAAAAGACTCGGTGGGTATCACGGCGGCGATTGGACCGCGAGAATCGCAGTGTCGTCGGACAAACGCGAAGGAGAAGAAATATCACTGCTGTTCTACACCGCCATCGAGGAAGGCACAGAGGGTTGGATAAAAGCTAATTTAGGAGACGATAATCACCTGACGGGAATAGAAGGGATCACGCAGGGATTAGGGTCTTTTGTTATCAATTTAAATCTGATACGCGGCACCATGGAGGAGCACTCCTTCCTCGCGACGGCCGTGTCCGATCTAAACGTGTTGAGGGAAAATGTCTTGTACAATCTTCGTCTCGCGACTCAGAAAGGATACTCGACGAAGCACATAGTCCTGGCCGGCGAACAGCTGCCTCTGTCGAACGGCCAGAAGATGGATCCGAATTTCATCGTCACCCAAGTAACGGGAAGAATCCCCTTCGAGATCGAAGTGAGCTTCGAGTCCGGCAGCTTCGGCACCAGGATACACAAGTTAACGGGCGACAACTACGACGAGGCCCTCGAGAAGCAACGCCAATTGTTCTCCGACAAGTTCGAGAGCGTCTTCAAGCTGAAGTCCAAGGGATACACGGACGACGAGGTGTCGTTCGCGAAGATGGCGTTCTCGAATTTGCTGGGCTCGGTGGGCTACTTCTACGGTGTGTCGCAGGTGCAGAGTGTACATAACAAGAAACCCGTGCCTTACTGGAAAGCACCTTTGTACACCGCGGTGCCCAGCAGGAGCTTCTTCCCGCGTGGTTTCCTGTGGGACGAAGGTTTCCACGGCTTGCTCATCTCCGCCTGGGACACGGAGATAGAGCTGGACATCATGTGCCATTGGTTCGATCTTATGAACGTCGAAGGTTGGATCCCTCGCGAGATGATCCTCGGCCAGGAGGCTCTCGCCAAAGTGCCCAAGGAGTTCGTCACTCAGATCAACACGAACGCGAATCCGCCGACGTTCTTCCTGACGCTGGACTTCATGCTTCGGCACAAGCGGCACCAGTTGTCGGAGAGGCACCTCCGAGTGCTGGAGAGGCTCTATCCGCGACTGGAGGCGTGGTTCGCGTGGTTCAACACCACGCAGGCCGGCGACCTGCCCGGCACGTACCGATGGCAAGGTAGAGACGCGACGACTACTCGCGAGCTGAATCCCAAAACATTGACCTCCGGCTTGGACGATTATCCGCGGGCCTCGCATCCCAACGACGACGAGCGCAATGTCGACCTGCGTTGCTGGATCGCGTTCGCCGCGCGCGTTATGGCCGATATCGTCGAGACGTTGAACTTCTCTTCCAACAAGTATCGGGAAACGTTTCAGTATCTGTCCAACAACGAATTGCTGAACAAGCTGCACTGGTCGCCGGACACGCGGGCGTACTCCGACTTCGGTCTGCACACCGACAAAGTGGCGCTGCGAAAACCCGCGCCGCCGCCCGCTCACACGCAGCGAGCGCACACGCACTCCTCGGAGATGATCCGCGTCGTGCTGGAGAATCCGACCCTGAGATTCGTCGACACGACCTTTGGATACGTGTCGTTGTTCCCATTCATTCTGCAGATCGTCGAACCCGACTCGCCGCAGTTGGCTGATGTACTGCGGAATCTACGAGATCCTGACCTGCTTTGGACCAAGTACGGGCTGCGATCGCTCGCGAAAACGTCGCCGCTCTACATGAAATACAACACGGAGCACGACCCGCCTTACTGGCGCGGTCCCATCTGGATAAACCTGAATTATTTGACGGTGCGCGCTGCGCATTATTACTCCAACGTGGAGGGACCGTATCGGGAGGACGCGAAGAAGGTGTACGGCGAATTGCGGCGGAATCTGATACAGAATATCATGAAGCAGTACAGAAAGACTGGCTACATTTGGGAGCATTATGACAGCGATCAGGGAGCGGGTAAAGGTAGCCATCCTTTCACCGGCTGGTCTTCCTTAGTTGTGCTGCTTATGGCGGAGATATACTAGAAATTCTTCTGTCGCTCCCTTACGTTGAATCACCGTTATTAAAGCGGTTGTTTCATTGAAAGTAGAATCAAAAGACACTGCAAATGTTCACTTAGACTTTATTACACCGGTCCGTAAGTAGTAATATATGCGCTTCAGGCTGGATGCAAGGATTATGACTGTGGAGTTACTACGAGTTCTAATGAACGATTAGTTGAAGAACACATCTACGAGATGATGCGAAGATATAAGAAAAAAACATTCAAAATATCACTTTTGCGTTAAATGGGAATAATACAGGGTGTCTTGTGAAAACGGGACTACCTCGGAAAAAAGATAAAAGGCACGGGAAAGAATGGTGCAGGAAAAAACGAAGTTCCTGCTTTTATCTTTTTTGCCTTTTTATCTGTTCCTGCTTTTATCTTTTTTGCGTTTTAGTCTGAGACGGATTCCAAGACTTTCATGTACGCGATAAGAGTCGCATCGATTAATCACATAAATCCGTATTTCATACTGAAGATAATCAGACCTTTTGTATGAAGTATCATATATATACATATATAAATGTTGTATGATAATTAACTGCACTGTTATAAATATTTTCTAAAACAATATATTGCGATTTGATGAGGTACTCGATATTCATGTCAAAAATTTCATATAAAGCATTTTGGATGAAACAAATTTTTCATTCTCTTGTACTGAACGGATGTGTATTTCATTTTTACTATTGATACTACTACTGATAAAGGCATTTCAAAATTGTAACAGACTGTACACTGGATAAGTGTATGTACAATTACCAAAAGAAAAAGAAGAGGAAAAGACGGCTGTGAGTCACTAAAAAAAAAAACTTGTATATTGTATATAATATTAAGCTATCTTCGAGAAGCACAATGTTTTGTCATTGTAGCATGGTCCGGATCATGATACTTATTTTTATGGTTGCATATTTCCTCCCTATAATGTAGCTGATATTTTTAAAGTTGTTTTTAACTAGGATATATGTAGCTCATATACTATATATATATGTGTATATATATATATATATATATATATATATATATATATATGTATATAGCAAAATATTGTTATACATTTATTGATACAAACAATTATTACAAATATATCTATTATTTTATCCTCTGGAAAATAGAATCTCAATTTTATTTCCATATTCTTTGATAATGTAAAACTTGATTGGGTAAGTTTCGGTTGTAATCATACACTAAAAAATAGTGTGATAAAATTAATTAAAAAATGAACAGAACATTCTAGATTTCTTCTTTATAATGTTTTTCTTCATTTTTAGTAAATATAAGTTTTTGATGTGAGTTTTTTTACTGCTTTGTTCAATATAAATATCTAATATTTGAAATATTTAAAACGACGTTTTATATTATATATTAATATTAAATGAACTGATTATATATTATTGTTGTATGTACTATTTGAAAATAAAAAGGCATCTGACTTTTTGTTGATTCATACTATTCAGAATGAAAGTAATATGAAGGTAAATAGTTCTATTTAGTGCTGTAAGTGCTTCAGAGCGACGAATAGATCAATCACATTGCTTTATTTAACGTTTTAAAGTATTTGCAATGTTAAACGAACCCTGCTTCTTGACAATCAATAATATAGAGTGAGAAAGCACCAGGGACAAATCAACTTTCTCACTCTGTTTTAAACTGCCAACTTCCGGCTTCACTTTGCGGACAGAATGCTTGGTCTATATATATACGTCATTGGTAATTTGGAGTTATGCTAGATTCACACTTAACGCGATTAGCGACGAGCGATGAGCAATATCCAATGAGAGCTCTTTCTTTTTAAAGCAATACTCTCATTGGACATCGCTCATCGCTAATCGCGTCTAGTGTGAATCTAGCATTAGTCTGATTGGCTTTATATCTGAACTTTGATTCTCGAAAATATATCGCACACGACATTTAGTGAAAAGCTATAGTTCATGTCACATATACTATAGCTTTTCACTAAATGTCGTATGCGATATATTTTCGAGAATCAGGGCCCTGTTCCGTTCCTCTATTTCTTTTTCCATGGAGACGCAGTCCAAGATCTGCAGGAATCAAATCAAGATTTGCTTTTGCATATTTTCTATTAATTTTTTGTTAATTTGTTAATGAATTTTATCACACAAATTTTTTGTAAGAGCAAATCTTAATTTAATTTTCAAATAATTTATTCAATTTTTATTTCGACCCTTTTTGCAAAAAAAAGCACTCTGCGGACGTTTCTCCTAATTACATATATCACAAATACTCGTATTCTGAGTTCTCTCTTAACGATAAATGAGCCTCGATAAAAGAGGATTCAGAATATGGGCCAATGTGATTTTTTCCATATTTTGGTCAAAATCTTAAAAATTCTTTGCCTATTTCGCGTCTCTCCGCGAGAGGTCTCTACTATAACTTCTGCAAAATCTTAAAAGGTAGTTCATGACGCTTTTTTTCTTCTCTCTGGCCTTGATAACCACGACGGGAGGATTGTAACTTGTTTGCACGTGACTGTAGTTTTTTAAACATTGTGGAATTATTTGCAAATACTACGATAGTTCATCTTTTAATTGAAAAATGAACAATCGTTATAACTAATTATTTGTAATATACTGATCAGTGGCTTTGGGAAATTCGTTTAGCTAAAGTCAGCATTAAAAAAGAAATTTTATGTGCTAGAATATACCATTTGATAGAATATTAGAAAAGAAAAGCACAAAAACAAAGAAAAAGTCTACGATATTTAATAAAATTGTAGAGTAATTTATTTGTCTCACGTTATATTATTTCGGGCGAGTTATACAATGGAGGGGAAAACTAAGCAGAAGAAAAGTTATAAAATATGTAAAATGCGCGATGACAACGATGTACAGAAACGTACATATTCGGAAATTTTATATAAGAAGAAATTCTCAACTCCTATGAAGAAGAGACGGAAGAACACTTATAATCCTCAAGAGGAAGCTAGGTATATATATGTGAGAATTAAATAGTTCATTACTCAACAACTCTTTTGAGGTTATACGATGTTTTTCATATACAGGTTAGAAAGGGAAGTTTTTGGCGATTCCAACAATTTTATAAAGAATTTGTTAAAAGAAGAATCCACGACAGAAGTAAAAGACGAACCTACCGATACTTATAATGAAAATCTGGTAAGTGATGAGGAAATCGAATCAAATGATGACGATTCTTCTGTGGTGAACACTGAGGATGCTGGCTCAGAAGAAAAGAAAGCAGCTTGGGACGACGATGACGATAATAATTATACGTTAGTATGAAAAGAACAAATACTAGTTCTGCTGTAAAGATTTTTTACTTGTTTAATGACAATTATGTAATTATATATGCTAAGTAATATATTGTATATTTCCCAACAGTGTAGATGCAGCTCTGGATGCACAAAATCGCAAGTTAACATGTAAAAGACCAGAGAAATTGTATACCACATATTTGAAAAATCATTATGAAGTATTTGTGGGTACTCCAAAATGGGCTAAACTTGGGACAACCACTATAAATGAAGATGATGATGATGATTCAGATGTCTTAAAGGTATATTAACATTTTTAAAGCTTCTTCATATGAAACAACTTCATTTAAATTGAATTTCAATCATCTCCATTTTTATACAGCATTGTCAGTTTTTGGACTATTCAAAACCTATGCGCTTACCAAAAGATATAATTGATGTGAAACAACTCTCATCTCTGAATAAGAGCAATCATGTGCAAGGTCATGTTGTCACGAGTGTAGAATTCCATTCAAAATACACACTCGCTCTGGTCGCTGGCACATCGGGTGTTGTTTCTCTTTTCGAGGTATTCAAGTTGTATAAATTTATTCTATAAGTTGAGAGAGAGAGAAAGAGATTAATTATTCATTTGTTATTATATTTATTCATTGACTATTATTATTCATGATTATTGCTTTGTTTTTCAGGTTGATGGCCATACAAATAAACATGTGTTCACTGTATTAAATGAGAAAACTCCAGTTAGTAAAGCAGTTTTTATGAAAGAAGGACAAGAAATTTTGATTGGATCTCATTATTACAAATATTTTAATACTTTTGATATAACAAAGAGACAGGTGCTTAATATACCTCTGCCATATGGAATTACGAACACAAAGGTTCGTGCGACCGTGATTACTATACAAGAAATAAATACAATTTTATAAATTAATTAAAGTTACAATACACTCTCATATTTATAGGATTTCGAGGTATCTCCTAACAGTAATTACATAGCATTATGTGGAAGAAAAGGTGAAATCTTCTTACTAGATGGTACCACAAAAGAGCTGATTAGCAGATTCAACATGAACTCGAAATGCAGAACGTTAGCGTTCACACCAGATAATAAAAATCTCATCTCACATGGTGGTAAGTATAGGTTTATCCATTTCAACTTATAAGTTACAATCTCTGATAGTATTCCCATATACTAGTACTTGTACATTGAATTCTATTTTTTGTCGTATAGACGGCGGTGAAATGTACATATGGGATCTGAATAGTCGTGTGTGCGTCCATCGTGCCATTGACGATGGGTGTTTATCTGGCACTTCACTCGCCGTGTCCCCAAACGGCCAATTTGTAGCAACAGGCAGTGCGCAAGGTGTGGTAAATCTCTATAAGACAAACACGTTATTAGAGAAGCGAAATCCTACTCCTGTAAAAGTGATCATGAATCTTGTTACCGGTATTACAAGCTTGAGATTTAATCGTACTTGTGAGATATTGGCTATGGCATCGGACAAGAAGTGCAATGCCTTCAGGATGATGCATGTACCGTCACTTCGCGTATTCGCGAATTTTCCAGCGCATCATACCGACATGGGTATGCCACAATCAATCAATTTCTCTCCGGGAAGTGGCTATCTTTCAATTTCAAATAAGACTGGTGCTGCCTTGTTGTATAAATTACGATATTACGATAGATATTGATAGTGTAAGAATATGCAAACATTTATGTGAAATGTAAACTATATATTTCCACTTCGTTTTGTTTTTTATTAAATTGCATAGAGAAAGATGTATATAAGTAATTTTTCATAGTCTATATGTCATTAATATAATGAATAATTGTAATAAATACACATAATATAGTATCATACACGTAAAATTGTAAGATACAAAGAAAATGTAACTAGTATATTGTGTATGTGTTTAAGCAAAATGAAAAATCAAATTTCCATAGGTTTTAAAAACCAAATTATTTACGCATTATATCTTACATTGTCGCGCTTTAGTTTGCTATTATTTCATATATTTTAAATGTATAAAAGATAAATTTGCTTTACTTTCATAAAGTATAGAATACGATTATAATTTTGTTACGTTAAACTTGTATGAAGAAACTATATATTTCAGAAATTAATTATATTAAAATTATATAAATATCGAATGCATTAAATCTTCGGTATTTTTCAAATTGTACAGGCAATACAATCTCGTGGAAATGCTCATATGTGCCGTATTAATTATAATTTCTCTGATCTATTTAATAAAAATAAATCTTACTGTACAAAGCGGTGTACAGTTAAATTGGTTCACAAATTTTTACACTTATGTGACACAGACCTTGCATACATTGCACAATCGTGCTATTCATTTTACACGTATAACTGGAAATATTTTATATTTCTATTAGCATCTATATATACTGTTGGTACTCTAAATATTAGTAAGGGTTAACATTACGCGGAAGAAATTTATATAAGTAAAATAAATTTAAATATAAACTCTAGATATATATATTAGTATTAAAGAAAAGTAAGATGACATAATATGTAACACACATGTAATGATGTGAGATGCATGTAAAATGTGACATCCGAGTTTGCGAATTCTGCATCAGAAATGCAGAATTGTAGAGATTGCCGTCTTTGGTTGTGTATTGTTTGCATATTCATTGAGGAACAATTCGTTCAAGATGTCATGTGTATTTCAAGTGATGCATAATGTTATGTGTGAATACATAACCCTGGTTCTTTTCTCATAACTGGGACAATCGCTAATATGTATATATCAGCATATAAAAATGTATTAACTTCGAGACTTTTCAAGGTTGCGGCGCATTTTCAGAAATATCAATGATTATATTTACACGACAGCCCAATACAGAGCTTTAGTGATACCCGTACAGACTTGATAATTTCCGATGTTACATCACGTTGTAAAAACAGTTGTAATTTCATAAGCAACATCGTGTTCTGATCCATACCACACCACATTATTCACAAGTGTGACTGCAATGTACATCCAGAATAGAATATCAAAACCTAGTGGTCATGTAACTACGTTTATCAACGTAATTGATCAACTACGTTGATTATAACGTAGGCTAAGATATCCGTACGAGTGTGCCAAACCTTAGGCCGCTGTCTAAATCTAATCGTTGGTAATCGCTAGCTACACTCATGTAATCCAGGGTTAATCTAAAAATGAATGTTATATAAAACAATGTATATATATACATTACGTTATATATAACAATGCGCATATTTTTTATACTGTTCGGCATAAGGGACATACTGTTTCGTTACTACGTAACTACATGAATCTGGACATGGTTTTCAAAAACCTTGAAGTTCTTCACAGCTTACACAAAAGTTGTGATTCCTTTTCCTTTTATAATTTAACTTATGTACGTACAAAAAATTTTCTACTGCATATGCCTATATATATACATCGTTTTCCTCTTGCGGCTCATACAGTGCGAACGCGTTGCTCAAGTCTTCGTCTCTTTGAATTTCGACGTTTCCACGTCGGATTTGTCGTTCTCTATATTCCTTTGGTGAATTTGCGTGAGGAACACTAGCTATTGGTCCGTTGCGGTCGTTGGAAGAGCGCTCGTATCTGTACTGCTACTTTCTACTATGAGCATTACAGTCTCGGTTGCACCTCTTACACATTCTACCTGATGGCTCGACCAATCTTTACGTTGGCAGAAAGTGGAACAGTATGGTGTGCGTCTACACAGAGAACATTCCGCGAAGGCTTCTCGATTACAGTTGGCACACTGAAAAAGAAAAAAAAAACGTACAAATTAACAGCTGTAATAATGAAAGTGCGACGAAGAAATAAATTCGATCTTTGATTTTTGCAGCTTTTACCTTCTTGTTATGTGCATCAGATGCTGGTTGCAGTCCGACGGCGTCCATAACGTCCGTTCGACCTCCGAGTTGCGCGACCAGAGCCTGCTCTCTTCTCTGTTGCCTGTTCACCTCCTTCACTTCATCTAACGTACGTCTAAAATCATAAGCCAACTTCAGCATTTTGGCCGCCAAGTCGTCCAATTTCTTGAACATATCGTCGCCTTGTCCATTCTCCGTCTGATGTACGGCTTGTACAACGGTATCCTGTTCCTGTGGCTGTTGCACAACCAATCCGTCCGTTGAAACAAACTGTGGCCAGACTTCTTTTTGGTCAGGCACGACGATTTCATTGTCGCTCTCGTCGTTGCTACCATCTCGTGAGTTTTCGGTTTTGTGCTTGCGCAGGGGAGCACCTTCTCCATCAGATGTGTCCCTGGTTCTTCTTCGGCGTTTGTATGGAGTAAACAGACGTACTGGGCCTGTCTGAGGAAAACAAATCTTGATGTCGTTAAGACTCTTAAGCTTGATCTACAATATGTTCTTTGCTTCCTGTTTCTTTCTCTTTATCTCTTTCTGACTCAAACCTCAAGCTTTAAGCTTGATCTACAATATGTTCTTTGCTTCCTGTTTCTTTCTCTTTATCTCTTTCTGACTCAAACCTCAAGCTTTAAGCTTGATCTACAAAATGCTCTTTACGTTCTGTTTCCTGTCTTCTGTCTTTTTCTAGTTTAAAGCCTGATCTACAATATGCTCTTCGCTTCCTGCTTTTTTCTCTTTATCTCTTTCTGACTCAAACCTTAAGCTGTAAGCCAGAAAAAGATAGAAGACAAGAAACAGAATGCAAAGAGCATATTGTAGATCAAACTTAAAACTTGATCTATAATGTGTTATTTGCTTCCTGTTACTTTTTCTTTATCTCTTTCTGACTCAAGCCTTAAACCTTAAACTAAAAAAAGAGAAAACAAGAAACAGGAAGCAAAGAACACATTGTAGATCAGGCTTAAAGCTTGATCTACAATATGTTATTTGTTTCTTGTTTTTTTTTTTTCTTTATCTCTTTCTGACTTACACCTTAAGCCTTAAACTAAAAAAAGACAGAGAACAAGAAACAGAAAGCAAAGAGCACATGGTAGATTAGACTATAAGCCAGAAGACAAGAAACAGAACACAAAGAGCACATTGTAGATTAGACTTTAGTCTCACCACTGTAGAATCCTGCCTTGATGATGAGAAAGACACGCAAGAATTTCTGGCATGTGTTTTCTCGCTTTTAACATCATCAATCCAGCAGTTTTGCAGCGATGAAACCATGAACCTTAACACTAATAGTACTAATCTATATTGGTTAAAAGAAATCAAATGAACTTGTAAAATTATGCATCATTTGAAATACATATCTTTAATGAATTATTTTCAATACCACAATGTGACAATGATGTGTTTTAACTAAATATGCATCAAATGCAAATATGTTGAGCATATGTGACAAATGATTCACTTACTGCGCTATCATCATCGCAACAGGCAGCGCAGGTACAAGAAGTGGCATGGGGCTTTAAGATTTGCTCATCGATGAGAGTCTGCAGACTTCTACCTCCAAATCGAATGCTTCGTTTCCAGTCTTTGCTAGACGCTCTCCCACAGAGAGCCTCAAACTCACTGGGTGTATACCAGTCTGTACCTAGCTTGATACAACGTCCTCTACCACCAGACCCAAATCTGCTCTTGTGCAACTCTGCATTTGTGTTTTTACATCTGACAGGTAACACTGCTAAATTAGCTGACTCAGACCAGCTGTATATCGGTTGGGAACTAGGTGTGGACACATGTATCTGTTCCGATTCAGTTTCATCTGTGCTGTTTTGTATTACTATGTGAGTCGCTTTCAGCTCACCGTTCCAACGTAGAGGATCCGTGTCCTTGTCATTGCGCGGCTCACAGATGAAGCCGTTATCGACGCATAGCATCTGCCTGAGCTGCCCCGGGCCTGAGTGCAGCTGCAAGTAGAAAAATGCGACTTAACACACTCATATATCGTGCATGATGCGCGTTTCGTGCGTTGCGTACGATGTACTCTCGACGTATCGTCGAAGAGCCACGTCGTATGGCTCATTCTTCCACAAAGTACAAGATCTAAAGCAAGAATGCTTGTAGTGAGAGAAAAAGCGTGATGTTTTTGTATCTGCATCATCGCCAACACTATCATCATCGTTGTGATTAACACTAAAGAGAGGACAAATGTTCTCGCGTTGGACAGGCGCACTCCCACGCGTCGGCACCATTTTCGCCACGATCGTGGCTGATCTAACCCGCACACGGGACAGAGAAAAAAAAAAGCGTCCGTTCGCGAGGTCCAACACACACGTACGAGTGTTGGAACATACGATCCGCATAACGCGACGCTTTATTCCAATCCAGGCGTACTTGCAGCTGCTCTGGCGTGATGACGTTGAAGGTCGTGCCATTGGTAGAGTTCGCTACGCCGATGATGGAGCCAACGGGCAGAGAAACCGGCACACCGACCCCAGGAACACCAGGAACGCCCGGAACCGAAGTGACGCTCGCTGTGACCGCGACGGGATGCGCCTCGTGCTCGCTCGTTAGCGTGGCCGCCTCCTCGGTCTCGCTCGTCAACGGTTCGGACATGTCCGGTAGCACGGCGACACTTTCCGATGTTTGGCTCTCCTCCATTTCGGCTGTTCTCGCCTCGCCTCGCCTCGCCTCCTCGCGCCGCTCGCTCGCTCGCCACGCAATGGCGTCGGCGCACGTTCCGGCACGCAGCGCCGCACAGTGCCCGATTCGTTCGAATGGCGGCGGATCACACCGAGGCCCTCCGTTGCGTGTGTCGTGTACGTGTGCCTGCGTGCGTGAGATGTGCCGGGCGAGTCACCCGGCCGGTTTGTATACATCGACTTGGTAAACAAAGTAATCCGCGAAAAAGAAGCGAACAAAAACGAGAAGTCGAGCGTGTTTATTATTCGAAGGAGAGAAATTCAGTCACGCGGAGGTTAGGCGGCACACGACATGTAAATTGTACCGGTCGCTTAAGCTTTAGTTATGAATTTCTTCGCGCGAACTCGACCTTATCAATCATAGAATCCTTCTTTTCTCGTCGTGAAATTATGAGAGGTGAATAATATCGCAAATCAAAATTCTAAAAAGAACTAAAGAGTCTAAGGTGCATGTGTTGTGCGCTATAATTTAATCGTATTAACAATTTTACACAATTTTATAGCGCACAACACATGCACCTTACTCTTTTAGTCCTTTTTAGAATTCTGATTCGTTCCATTCCAGAACCGTACAGGAAACTTGTTTGTATTTTTTAGTAATATCATAATACTTGGACGCGATCATGTATCTCCTTCTCCCACGTGAACTTGTGGAAAGTGAGCGTCTTTAGACATTTTCAAGTTAGATTCTTCGTTTTCAACGAGTTTACGCTAGGCGATAAGATCCTTGGTCGATCTTCTGATCGCGAGGAAATTGAAGGAAAACCGGAAGACGCACCGGAGAAAAAATATGTATATTTCTGTATGTGATTTCTGTAAGTCTATTCTGTAACTTTTAGTCCAAATCTAATGTGTTTTTAGCTTTCTGTTTTTTTTCTTTACTTTTTTCTGACTTAAAACTAAAGCTTTCAACTAGGAAAAGATAGAAATCAAGAAACAGGAAGCAAAGAGCACATTGTAAATTAAGCTTCAACGACAGTGTCATTATCGTTACGTTGTCGTTGCGCAGATACATGATAGAAAAGCTGCGCAACGACACATCACGCTGATGATATTATCGTTAATTAAGAAGTTACAGGATAGATCTACTGGGAAACGTTCGTTCCCGCGGTGAGACTCTTCTATTCTCACGGAGTCAATATGGCGAGATCCAAGGAAGCGATTGTCGCGGCGTTTCACGGACGATTTGGCGCGAAACGATAGAGAATGTAAGTTTTGGCAATTCATAACATACCTCATGTTATTATAATGAATTTCTCAGCGCGGTTGCTCATTCTGCTCGTCTATATTTACACGTCTGTACTGAGTGCAGCTTCAGCAAGAGAGAAGTCGCAAGCTCTTGGAGAAATGTCAACATCCTCCGTTGAGAACACACGGCGCGTGACTGATGTCGAAAATATCGAACAAGTATCAGGTAATGCGATGCAAACACATCGGCGATCCGAGGTAATATCACGGTCATGTTCTAAATTCGCTTTGTGTTCTCAGAACTGTATAGATCCGAGGCGTACTCGTCCTCGCACGCGTTATATTACTCGCCCGCTGGCCGATCGCTTCCTCAGATCGATCGATCTTATCATGGCAGACGTCTACGACGACGTCGACGATGGAAGCTCGCTAATTGCTTTCGGCGTACACCATCCGTGAGAGACGAGGCATACAACTTGCAAACTACAATCGCCAAGTCTCGAGCGCGTTGAACACTGAGAAAATCCTTTTTGCTGCTGGCGCGTAGCAAAGACATAGAGCGGTTCTTTGTTGCTATCTTGTGACTTATTGCATGATCAATTTACAGGTAATTAAAGTTGCTTGAGATGATGCTCCAAATGTGGAGTTCAACGCGATCAAGACTTTATTCTCAACTCTTTTATTAATAAAAGTGCTAAATGTGCTTATAACTTGAACAGCAAAAATTTCTAAAAAAAAAAACATCTTAGAAATTAAAACATAAGCAAAGGATGTAATAAAATGTCATTACATCTTTATAATATCTTTTAGAAGTTTGTGCTCTCTCTGAAGATTTATATTTAAAAGCACTTCTATTATGATAAAACAGAATTGAGAATAAGAGCCTGTGGTTTTTATTCTAAATTCTTATTCTAAATTCTTATCTATAAAAGAGTGTTCAGAATAAGGACTAGTCTTTTTAATTTTGTTTTTATAGCATTGTTATTTTCAATGTATACAAAAGAAATAATGTGTTATGAAAAGTGTTAACTCTTGGTATACCATTAGGACTCATTTTGAATCCAATATTAATTTGAGATTTCTTTTTGAGCAGTTCTATTTTTATTATTGGGGTTGATACTTCAGGATTATTGTTTTTTTAGAGATTTTTCAAAGAACAGAAACAAAAGTTATTTATTTTTTTTTAAATAATTACTCCTTTAATTAAATAGCACTCTGATAGTATATGAAGGGTAAAATCGATCTTAAGCGATCTTGTATACCGTAGGACGTTCCTTCGTCGAGAGATGCACCACCCACATACTCCTCGATGTATGTCGATCTAATATCACACTCGGCCAGATGCTCGTCCATCTTCCCGATTAACAATCGATCGCCCGCCACGGCACGAATTCCGCCGCCCTCTTACGCTCAAACTCAAGGGATTCACCTTGCAGCATCCACGAACCATACTCAAGGGATTCACCTTGCAGCATCCATGGAACCGTTCATCACTTTATCCCGTAAAACGATTCTCATGTATCTCAGTAATCGGGCTTGAGAAACTTCTCTCGAAACGTTCGCAATTTAATTTATTGTTACAATTATTTCACCAACATTTCCAATTGAGAGACCGGCATTTTCTTATAAGTACCGTACTGATATTAGAACTACTTTTTGTTGAAGACGTAGAGAGAAAACCGGGAAAATGTGTAACGATAAAAAATTGTATAAAATGATCCCAGACAGCACAATCCAGTAAAAGATGTCTTAAAGACGTCCAAAAGGCGACGTATTTTTTTTAGGTGTCTCTTAGTAATTTGTACTATCTGGAACTTTATTCTGGGTCCGAAAAGAAGCGTCCCACGAAAGGGGCACTGGCCATTAATGAATTAGATTTTTTCCGAGAGGATTCGCATATCAGCGATGTTGAATCTTTGCAGCGAGGAGCTCCTGGCCGAGAGTGCCCACGGCTACGATATGCCCTCGATGCGCCGCGTTCGTCATCACCGCCGTGGTAGTACGTCGATCCACGTACAGTCACCTCACCGCCTTGACGCTCTTTCTGCTCGGGTATGTGCGTACGCTTACGCGTCTGAAAGTTCGCGCGAAAGCGACAGGTGAAATTTTTCATCGCAACGGCACGCGCAATTAAACCGCGCGACATCGTGACTACGATCTCTCGCGGCCCTCGTTACGCGCTTTGTCACCTACGATTTTTACTGGTTCAGTTTTCGTCATCGTTCACCGCGCCGATTTGCCGTCCAAGACCATTAATTTCCCGGCGTCTCTTTTGTCGCAGGTGTTGGCCGTGTTGCATGATACCGTACTGCATCGACTCCTGCAACAGCATGGACCATTACTGCCCGCTCTGCCACGCGCATCTCGGGACTCACGCGCCGTGATGACGATTGTTATCGCGTGGAGCAATTTGGAGAGGCGACGGTTCCGCGCAACGGTAAGGATAACGCGAGTTAAATCATCGCGCGACCCCAGACTCGTGTTCCCGCATCGCTTCTCTCCTTCCAGGGTTACTTTATAGAGCGAACGCGGAAACTGAGGCCCGTATTTCAGCATCTTGTTCAACAGCGGCGATTACAATCGCGCCGTTTCAGCGCCGAGAAAGCGGAGCGTCCATTTCGACTCAAGAGACAAGCACAATGTTATTTGGAGGCGTCAATTAAATTTCTCAACTTTCCCTGAAATTCTCGTGTGTGAGAGGACGATGTCTTTGCGTCGGATGTGCGCTGAACTCGACCGGACGATAACGATTTGCTGCTTGATATACAGACCGTGTAAACGGTGTCTCCGAATATATTAGACTTCACACCTCGGATCTGCGAGAGTTGACTTCTGTCTGGTGAAATGCGCGACGACCTGTCGTCTGCCGAGAATTGTCATTTCGAGTTATATACTGAGAGGAAGAATATCTAAGGAATAGTAAATATTTTGGTGGGTACCAAAACACAACAACTATAATTTATACTCTTGTATTAATATAAAATATTTTTCAAATTAGAAATAATATAAAATATTTTATAAAATATTAATATAAAATATTTTTCAAATTAGAAAAAATACATTTTCTAGGAAATGTCCCCAAAAAATCTCATAAAAGCAATTATGTATTCTATTTAAATAAAAGAATCTAGATTTAAGTAAATATGCTCTGTTAGAGTATCCTAATCAAGTAAACATTTATTAATTTTTAGATATTCCTTCCGTCAGGATATAAGAAAAGTTGAAACGGAGACTTCAGTGAAGGTCGTCCGAATCAACGTGAACACTCGAGGATCTCGTGAAACACATCGAGCACTCGAGATGACTCGGAATTGCTTGCCAATCGCGCTGCTCTTAATATGCTGCGTTACGTTGCACACTCATGCCTGGAACAATCGCGGCAGACACAGAATCGCAAACAGGAGACGGCTATGGCAGACGAACGACAACGGTTCCGTCGCGATTTGGCCGCAAGGAACGACGAGGCACATGTGGGAATCGTCGCAATTTCCGAACAATAATCAGACCCAAGTTCCCAGACAAAAAAGACGTAAGTGACGCGACTCTAGGTGACAATCGATAGCGGGAGGAGAGAAAATGTTATATCATATTGTATCTCGTTTCAGTCTTTTCGTTGTTCACGCTGGTGAAGTTTGACAACGGCATCTGCGGCGGATTAAACGGAGAGAATGGCACGTGCGTCGCAGCGACGGAGTGCGCCCAACGCGGCGGCCTCTCCAGCGGCGTCTGTGCGAACGGTTATGGAGTATGCTGTATAGGTAAAACAAATCAAACTGGACGCTTTCACAGCACAAAGGATTTAACCCTTTGCACTCCAATGGACAATATTTTGTACAAATCAATTATAGAAAATTAACACTGTTACTTAATATGAATATTATGGAGCAGTGACGATGTCCTGCGGTGCGATGATCAACGACAACAACACGTATTTCGTCAATCCGAACTATCCGTCTACCTACGACGGCATGGATTCCTGTCAGATCACATTAGTGAAGTCGCATCCGGATGTATGCCAGTATCGGTGAGTCGTCAAGAGCCTTCTACAATCGAAATGTATTGATTGTGTTTTCATAAACACAAGTCTCTCACCTCATCCAATCGTGTTCATATCTGTTTTATTTATAGATTAGACTTCACGCAATTTAATATCATGGGTCCGGAGACGACAAACAATGTCTGCACTTTTGATCAATTCATCGTTTCCGGCGGCAATCCGGTGCCAACGATATGCGGCAACAATAACGGGAATCACAGTGAGTACCCGAAAGAGTAATTCTCCAAGACAACGTGAGACAGCGTTGTTCGATTCCCCGACTCATTCTCGATCAATACGAGCTAAATATTCTCTCTCTTTCTCCATTTCTCTTTACAGTGTACATAGACACGGGTGTCGGGCAAACGAATCCAGTTACTTTGACGTTCGTCACGAGCAGCAGCTCGTTTCCACGATCGTGGAAGGTCCGTATCTCGCAGATACGATGTAGCACGATTTATCGCGCCGAGGAGGGCTGTCTCCAGTATTTCACTGGGGTTTCCGGCCAGATAAAATCCTTCAACTACGACCCCACGACCGGATTGCAGTTGTCGAATCAGGACTACAGCATATGCATCCGCATGGAGAGGAACTTCTGCGGGATCCAATACATGGCGTGTGTCGACGACGGTAAGAAAAGAAAGAGACTAATCAACTACTAACAACTCTGTTCGTCCTGTGTCGTTAGCACGATTTATCTCTCTGTCGCAGCTCAAATGATGATGCCCGCCGGCGTGGCGAGCGTGGGACAAATAATGCGTAACAACGCGTTCACGTTGACCGGGAACACGCAGGCCACGCAGATCGCGTCGATGACGGGAGCGTCTTGCTTGACCGATTGGATAGCGATACCGTGCGCCATGAATTCGGGCAGGATGCCAACGGCGCCGTTGATATGCTCCGATCGGCTTTGTGGAGGTACCTTCAACGCGGAAGCTCAGAATTTGAACAGCTCATCTGTAATCAGTGAGTATTTCTTCAGCAAATATCGATCACTTCCAAGGTTCTGTAGGTAACACCTAAATTTTAAAGCTCCTGATCCCTCGCATTGTCTATCTCTTTTTAATGACAGCATTTCTTTTTAAACAAAAGCGAGAAAATGCGTGCTAAAAATTTTGTGACATACGTTGAAATAAAACTATATATTCATAAAGTAACACTTGTAATCGATTAAACAAATTTCTAAGATATTCCGTGCACTCCCCTTTTGCTTTAACAATCAATAATTTGTTGTAAATTAACGTGACATACAATTCATCTTCTTAACCTATTTCTTCGCCTATCTCTATTCAAGTTAATTTACGACAAATTATTGATTATTAAAGCAAAAGAGGAATGCACGGGATATTTCACAGATTTATTTAATCGATTGCAAGTGTCACTTTACAGATATATCTTTTTATTTCAACGTATTTCGCAAGAATTTAGCATTTTCTCGCTTCTGACGTCATTAAAAAGAGATAGACAATGCGAGGGGCAGGAGCCTTAATAAAGAAATACGGACACAGCAAACATTAATTATTCTCCCCATCATATATTTGCACGAACATCTAGCATTTGGCTCTTATTGGCCGTATTTCTCTATTAAAATCGAACACTTCATCGGTTCGATTTCCATCGCCGCGTTATGTCACTCGATCTCGCTCGGCTTTCAGGCACCGTCAAGCCGTTCCGACTGATCTTCCACACGGACAACATCGAGGCGCCCGGCGACGTTGGGAACAGAGGTTTTTGCCTCAACTACGTGCAACAACCTTGCACGACGAAGTTGAGATGAAAGCGCTTGTCTTAGAGCAGTAGTCGTCGAGTACAATGGAAGAGAATCGAAACGTAAGTTTGCAGAATCTCAATTTTTATTTCGAAACTTTTTAACACACATATCTTTACTCTTAACTACATTGACATACGAAGAGTTCGCTTTAAAAAACGACTGATAGTTTAGTTTATGAGAACGTGCTGTCGTACAAATCAAAAGGTAACGCGTACCTCGCGCGATAGAAAAAGAAAAGAAACGGAACAAGAAGAGATAGAGAAACGTTTCATTCGATATTTTGTATTGTATGCACACAAAACTCGCGTGTAGATCAAGGAGCAATCGCATAGTCGCAGGATACCGCAAGAGTCGAGCTAGACTGGGAGAAATGCATCTTCTCTGTCGGATCTTCAACAGATATCGTGTAATTAAAACGGAACCGACTACACACGAAGTATAACAGTCAATAAAATATTAAGAATGATAAAAGGGACGGTAGATTACGTTCTAGATTATCATCGTGCTATCGTTAACTGGTTTAGTCGGTTAACTGTACAGAATAATATAACGGTAGAATACGTCACGATTAAAACACACGTATATAATATTCGCGCTTTTTCTTTTTCTTCCTTTTTGCTTCATCAGCGTTAACAGGTCGGTAGACTGTGTGCGACCGGTAAGGGTCGCAAATTAATCTAACGTTACTTAATCGACGCTATAGACAGATGTGTACATGCATTTATACATATAACAAAAGCAGAGGTAGCTCTCTCCATCTCGCTCTTGGGAGATGCCGAAACTCCAGTGATACTCGGAAATGGTCGTAGAATGGTAATATACATATACGTGTATATACTATTAGATGTGTGCAGAGTTCTGTCCGTTTTGCCCGACGCAACTTCTAAGTGGAAAGTGTAAGTCACAAGTAGTAGTAACAGATGACGCCGAGATGAGCAAATTGCTTCGGAGGAGGAGTAAGCTATGAAAGGGCACCAATTATGCAGCTGCAGCTCATTCGCGAGGAAATCAAACGAAGCAGAAATTCCAATTGAAGTTACCAGAATTCTGTTCAAGTTAACAAGATTTCTGGTTAACCAGAATCTGATAGATATCCTCTCAGATAGCACAGAGAATTCAAAAAGAATTCTTTTCGAATTTTTTTTTGAATTCTCTGTATTATCTGGGATGTCAAACGACAAGGAGTACATTAGGCATTGTTTTCTTCATGAGTTCGCCGGAAGCAACAATGCAGCTGTAGCTGTTGCAACAGTTATAAGGTGTATGGCGAGGATGCTGTAGACGAGAGCATATGTCGCCATTGGTTCTGTAAATTCCCTGAAGGAGACAGAAGCTGCAGTGATCAGTCACGTTGATTGGACGTCCAGGCGTCTATTAAAAGGATTTTAACCAAGTCATATTAAATGACCGACATCCAATTGTTGAAGAATTAGCAGAAAAGTTTTCTGTACACAGAACAACGGTGAAAAGACAAATGCATGCACTTGGGTTTGCTATAAAGTCCGACTTCGTTGGATATTTCATTAGATACTTCAAAAACAGGTAGAACTTTTGCACACACCTGATATATGTGTAAATATGCAGAACGACGCTATTTTTCTTTCATATATATATATATATATATATATATATATATATATATATATATATATATATATATAT